TGTAGGGAACCGGAGTTTCCATGCTGGCCCGCCAGGCATTTTGGTTCTATTTTTAATTATTTGTTGTACTTTTTTAACCCCACACCCATACTATCAGCATTTCATAGTAATGTTAAAGGCGGAGCACCGCTTCCATTCAAAAGCCGACTGCCGATTTCCGTAGTCCCGGTGCACTGAAACCAGTTTAACAAAAGAACAGCCGGTTCCAGAGACAAATATTTTGAATTCTTGGCTGCAGAACAAAGTGGTCGGCACCATGGATTTAGGTCCCAACCTTTTGAAGGGAAGAACCGTGAGTGGAAAAGCCACTTGTGACAAAATGCTGAAGCGTTGGGGTGTCGCTGCAGAGGCTCTCACCCGTTCACAGGGGGCAGTTTGTTCCACTGGCATTTTGGGCAGCCAGCGACTGCGCAAGACAGGCGGCTCGTTTAGTAAAACCTTGCCAGGTGGTGCTTATATGCCTTTTGGTGTCAAACAAATCACTGCCGAAGTGCCTCAGTATGGACTAGAAATGTTTGTTGCCTCTGTGCTGCTGTAGTGAGCAGAAGCTCTCCAGAAAGCAGGGAGAGAGGACGGTCACTCTCAGCTATCACTGGACTTCTTCCACTAAGGTTTATAAAATGCATTGGTGAAATAGGTGGTTTGGTATGGGTACTTTTTTCCCTGAAAACCAGTAGTATAAGCAGGGTGTAAAACTGGGCTGCTGGCTCCCGGCGTGCTGCCAAGCTGCTCACGGTTAGGAGTCTTGCTTAGCTGTAAGAGTGAGCTAAGCGAGGTATAAAATGTTTTGGTCTTGTCTGCGTTACTAGAGCCCTGCTGCATTACACAAGTTAGGAAAATATGCTGCAAGTGTTGAACGTAGCTCAGAATCAAAGTGGTCAGAGGAAAAAATCCTGCCAAGGACAGAGCAAAACGGAGGTCCGAGGGAAACGGAGGGGCATGATGCAAGCAACACAGAGTGATCAGGCTCCAGCTTCCTTAGCTCATTTGCAGTGTACTGATCGCTAATATCTCATCACCATCTCCACAGGGTGGAGGGACACCTTAGTCCCCAACCCCCCCAGCCCACAGCTGGACCCCCCCTGCCCTTCTTTGTGATGGGCATTAAAGGCTGCACAAAGTACCAGGCAGATGTCACATACCAGGTGCCCCAACCCAGTCCCCAGTGTCTTTAGAGGCTTCCTACCAGTAGGTCCACTTTTAAATTTTGGTTGATTTTGGAACGGTTCCTCCATGGGAGTGAGTCAGTCCTGCCAGAGCTCTCCCTGAGCGCTGTCAGCCCTGCCTCTCTTGAGCCAGTCCCCCACTGCTGGGGAAGGGGAGGAGAGCACCCACCCAGAGAAGACAGGGACCCTTGCTCCCCGCACAAAGGCGGCTTTTGTTTGTGCAACCAGCTCCAAAACATACCCAGGGCTTACTCTGACTGCAAGGGTGGGAGAGGGGAAGTTGTGAACTTTGGCCTTGGGGTTGAAATTGAACTGGAGGGGGAAGAGTTTATGTAGGGGCTTATATACTCCACAGGCACTGGTGGGTCGGGAGCCCCTCTGCTGAGGGCAGTCTGACAGGGGAATCCTTTGCTCTGACCCCTGCTTGCTCACAGGTTAACAGGGCGGGACCTTTAAAGGAGCTTTTTTCCTTTTTCCTCCAGTCCCAGACAGAGTCTTCACCTTTAAAGTGGTCTGCTGGAGAAGCAGGGCAGAAGCTCTTGGGAATCTCCCAGGTCTCACCTCTACTGTCTAGAAACCATTTACAAAATAGGCAATAAGAGTATGATTAAATCTTGAAGCATAGACAGATTGAAGCCTGTATAAATCCTGTTCCCATACCTTGCTAGAGCCTTGTAAAACCCTTGCCTTGCCATTTGGATTATGATTAACAGATGGTTTTCTCCCAGCTATGCTACAATTACTCTAAGCCGGTAGCTCTAAGAGCATGCCTGAGGTCTCAGCTCTGGGTGCTGGCCCTCTCCTGGCTCCACACTGAGGGGACATCGGGTTTGCCCCAGTCCCCTTCCCCCTGCCCGTCCCCTTGCTTTATGCAGGCAGAAAGCCTTGCTGGTGACCTGCTGAGGGCCAGCAGTGGCCCTCCCTGCTCTGGTGACGGTGGTCGCTGCTCAGCCTTGCAGACCTACCTAGGTGTGTGCTGTCCCTAGGAACAAGTATTAAGGTCCTTACTATAGCTTATAGGAAAAGGCTCTGACCCTACGGGCATTTACCTCTGTGCTCGGTGAAACATGCGGGAAATTGCAGCATAAGTGGTCTGATGCGGGGAGCAAGAAAATGTGTGAGGGAGAGGAGCAGTAAAACATGTAAGGTCGTTAGGTGGAAGAGCTGGGATGGTTGCAGGTAGTCCTTTATTTTGGCTGTGTCTCTGCACTATTGTTTTGAGCTGTCATTCAAAGAAATGTTGCTATCAAAGATCCAGATATTCAGCAGCTTGTGCCGTGAGTACAGGCAGCAGCTCGGTCTCTGGCAGAGCAGCGCCTTTTAGGTAAAGTCCCCTACAAAGCCAAGGTCTCTAAGGGAGTGATATTTTTGACCTGTTCCCCCCTAGAGTAATGAACTCAGAAATGGGTTTGAACCCATCAGAGTCGCCTGTTACAATTTTCTAGCAAAGCAACAATATAAGAAATGAGGATTTGCTACATCCTCTCTTTCCAAAGTGCAGCTCCCTAAAAAGCAGATGAAAAACCCTTTCTAGTGAACACATCAATTCCTTGTACATATTTACTCCTATTCATCCCTTTTATCTACACACACAAACTTCCACTGTGTTTTATTCAAGTGCTTCAGGGGCATTTCAGAAAATCTCTCCTTTACATCAGCAAGAATGTATACTAAATTTCAGATAGTGACCCCAGTCTATTTTCCCTCAAGAGATTTTATGACAGCTGGAGAGCCTCCAGAGTTTTGAATCTTTAATTTCAGAGTCCTCCTGAGAGCAAGGAGCACCGAAAGATTCGCATCAGAGTGAGGTCGCTTGTATATCACTGATGCAGAGCTCGAAAGCCATGAGGTTAAGTAAGATGCAACTAAATGCATAAATTGGTCTGGAAAACCTTTAGTACTGGGAGTGAGAAATGAGACTACAGGTTCACGGTTTGACTCTAAGATGCGTGACTGAATTTGCAACACTGGCAGTTAACGCAGCGTTTCAGCTGGATGGAAGTACAGTGAGGAGAAAGCAGTTTCCATCATCTAGAAATGAACTTAAACAGTTGTTTCCTCTTTCAGGTTATACCTAGATAACACTTTCTAAGCACCCCGTTTTAATAGGATCTTGTCTACAGATTAGCCATCCTGAAATGTTTGTGCTCCCTCATCAGAAGAGCGTATGCACCCGACAGCTAGCCTGCAGGCTTTTAAGGATTCCTCCTCTAGCCAGACTGACAGGCGGGACCTGCCGCAACAGGCAGCTGGGGAAGCCCCGGCGGGGGGGCCCTGCCGCAACAGGCAGCTGGGCAAGCCCTGGCCACGGCGAAGAGCGGCCCTTCTTACAGCAATGTGAAATGCAGGGAGAGGAACAGAGCAGGGATGAGTCAAGCAATAGGAGAGAGGATCATACGGACCACGTGGAGTCGTATGACTATAACACTAGAAGGAATGTGTGTATGGAACAGAGTGATATAGGATACGGTAACTTTGCTCCAGCATGCACAGCTTTACAGCCTTTTCTTGTTTTGTCACCCTATCATGAGCCTTCCTTTCACTGCGTTTTTAGAGCTTATAGGAAAGTTTGGAGAAACAATAAATTTCCTTTCAAACTAATAAGCTTGACTATCCCATTGACTTAGCTCTTGTTTTTCCTCTATCCCATCCCTTTTTCTTCTGTAAGTAGGTACTATAGTGTAATTTGAAAAATTCCCTTCAGAGACCTCAGTCCTCGAGTCTGATGAGAAGGCAGCAGGGAGACTGATGATTTTACAGCAGAACCAAATGTGCTGACTGCCAGCTATTTTCCTCTGCCTCGCATCCAACTGAAATCAGAAACCTGTTTGCCTGCTTACTTCACCAAGAAGCTCGTATCGCCACCTCTGAGTGCTACAGCACAAACCTCGGAGGAAGAAATGCTGCAACAACAGAAATGTTGTTTGTTTGTTTGAGATGCAGTTTGTTTGGACTCCAGTCTGTAAAGCTGCTTGGTACATTCAACTCTCTCTGTCTCCCTTGAAAGGCAGGCTTGGGAGCACCTCCAAAACTCACACAAAGTCCATCAGTAATCCAAGCATATTCTTAAAGTAGAAAATATTGAATAATACCTTATACCATGGTATCTGCATACAGGGACATGGCTTTTTTGTGATTTGTAAGAATTGTAATGGAACATTTTTGAGCGGCTGCTAGTGCTTGCTCAGGCATTTTGGTCCCCTGAGAAACAGATCCTCTAATACCTCAGTGGTGGGAACCTGAGGACTTCTTAGCTTCCAGCTCCAGCTTCTTAGCTTCCGGTTCCAGATATGCCCAGCTCCCCATCAGGGTGGGACGCAGCTGCATGCCAGCCCCTCTCCCTTCTGCTCTTGAAAGCATGGAAAGTGGCAATACGGGCTGGGCTGAAGCTGTGGCATGCTCCCATCCACTTCCCTCGACATGGGGAGAAGTCGCCAGCACTCATGCCCCAGGCGGTCCAGACAAAGCTGAAGCTGATGTGGTTGTTGTGTGAGCACCTGCTCCTTGGCCGAGATGTGCAGAGGGCCAAGTATGGATGTCAGACAGTAGCCAACAGCACAAGGCTGAGCTCAGCAAGAGGAAGGGCACGGGCTTTGCAAAGTCAGGGAGATATCGACATGGTCAGATGTGACTTGCTCCTTGTTCCACTCCATTGGCTTTGGTTTTCCATCCTCAATCTATGTTATGTTATGTTATGTTATGTTATATGTTTGTTATGTTATGTTATGGTCAGACTCCCTGTTGGAGGGAGCTAGTAGATCTCCGCAAGATGAAACCGGAGCACAGCTGACAAGACAGTTCATGGGATGAATGATCACCATAAATCTGGCTCCCTCCAGGCATGGAGAAAATGTTTGAATAGTGTCTCACAAAATCTCCGACTTTCAGATGCTCTCTTGCCCTGCTCCAAACCTTGCAACATCCAGCTTTCATTCGCCCTACAAAACAGCCACTGGGGGCAGCTGCAACACCGCCTGCTCGCTACTTTGAGCACTTTAAACTGAAACACTACAAAAAACGACGACTACCTTGGGGCCAACCACGTGGGTCTCATGTGGCTCCGGCAGCTGGCTGCAGCGAGCACTGAGCCTGCACCAGGAGGCCTGAGTCCATCCCTCCCCGCCAGACTGGAGGTACAAATCCTTCTTTGGTGCAAGCCACCAGGCCTGCCCAGGTGCATTTGTGCAAAATGTGATGTGTGGGTGGCGCGAGAGCAGTCCCTGTGTGGCAGGTAGGGCACCCCTCAGGTCCGAGCTCCGGTCCGCAGAGGTGACGGGCAGAAGAGCTGGAGGGAGATGTGTCGAGGCAGGAAAATAAGAGCCATATCCTTGCAAGAACATTGTGCAATTGGCTGCCCTTCTGCTGAAAGATGTATTTAATTCACTCGGAGAGAAGATCCCTGTAAGAGGAAATGGTGTTCACAGAAGAGATGCTGTTTTGTCCCTGGAATTACGCAAAGTGAACAAAAATACGTGGCAGCAAGGTCACTCCCTGTGATTTGCCATTTTCTTTGCCTAGGGACTAGAAAAGGTAATTCTATTTCACACAGAGACAAATGATTTGAAATCTGCTTCACAGCTCAAAACCAGGCAAATAAAAAGTACCAGAGACACTGGAGAAGTCTCTCTTGGAAATCAAGCGCAGCGTACGCTGCAGCTGAAAGCTTAGCACTGCAGTTAATGAGGTGTGACTGTTTGCTTTTGCTTTAAACTCACACCATGCTTTAGACATTTGAAAAATCCATTTTAGGTCTAAGAGTAACTGAAAAATAAGGTATTTTCCCCACACCCTTTCCCATTTGTACTATTATAAGCAATGGGCTTGTCCTTGTTGATATATCAAATGCGGCAGATGATGGGTTTCAAGGGCGATGGCTAGAGCAGGAAAATGAAGCAAGGTCGTCGAAGCGGTTCGGTGAGGCTGCGGTGGTCCATCGGCTCTGCCAGCGGCGCGCTCCATCATGCTGCAGTCTGCGGTGCGGACATCTCTAGTGATACTTCGCCACTTTGTGCAACAGTGATCGAAATGGAGCGGCTACAGGCACCGGGGACTATAAACTGCCTTGGGAAAGAAAAGTCAAGTGGCCAAACTAATAAGGGAGAGGAGCTCTCCCTCCCATCCTCTGCGATAGGATTAAGGACAGCCAGCAGATCATGGGAGGGGGTGGAGGAGCACACACGTAAGGAGTCATTACCTGCAAGGAAGGCAGAGATCATGTTTTGCTCTTGACTGAAATGCTAAATACAGAAGAAGGCGACAGAGCGACTATCGATACAAAGTGCTTTGCCACTGAAGAGCTAACATTTTCATTGTCGTATTGCGGTGAAAGAGTCTGGTGACCTTTGCAGTATTCAATACTATATTCAAGTATTAGGTATTATTTATTAAGTATTAAAGTTCTTTCCTAGCTTTTAGGAAAGGATGAAACAATCAGGTGCCTGAGTGATAAGCACGGCATAAAGATCTAGATAAATCGCTGCTGTCACACTCAAATCATTTTATTCATTTGAAATTGGGTTTCCTGGAATACAGTCTCATGAGATACTCATCTCCTCTTCGAGACAAATTTGACAGGAGAGGAGATGCTGCAGAGTGGATTAAGCAAGAGATAGCGCTCTAATCCCAGTTTTCCTCTCTCACTTGGCGTCCCTGGGAAGGACAGCATCCCTGTCCTTCTGATTTCTCATTTGTAAAATGGAGATGATAACTGCTCATCTCTCAGGGCCATTATGAAGATTAATGTGTTTACAAAAGCATTTAAAATGCTAAGTACTTTTGGTTCCAGTCCTGTGAGATTGGAAATGCCAGCACTGAGGTGCTGAAAACCTTAAGCTTTTGCTAACTGTGGTGGAGACTGGCTGCCCAGCACTTCACAAGAATGGGGAGAAACATGTCCTTGAAAAGTCATGAAATCCCATCCTGCTTTATTGCATAAAATGAGAGCTGCACCGTGTATCTGAAAGGGCAGATAACACAAAAAATCATCATTTAATTTCATGCTAAGAAAATTACTGAAGGCTTTGCATTTGGAAACACGTTGGTGTAATTTATCTAAGGACTGATTCCTGCACCTTTGGCTACAACAGGATTTTTGGCGCCAGGATAGAATACAGTATCCGCCCAGAATTTGCTGTACCTCTGTTAAGCTTTAAACTCTGTGACAGTCAACATAGACTCTTAATAGACTCAAAAACCCCCTTGTTTCACTATTACCAATATAGCCAATTTTAGCCACTTGTCTTGCAAAATGCGTGATAAATGAAACCAAAACCCAAATCAAGGTTCAAAACCCCCAGTCCTAGCATTTGTGAAGAATAACCAGCACTGATTCTTTACCATACGCTCCTTCAGCCAGCCCGTAGGATCAGACAGAGGAGCAGTTAATTGCATCTGTATCCAGTAAAGTCCCTGTGTTACTACTACCTCTTCCAGTCCACGCAGAAGTGAGTCAGCAGCTTCTGCAGGCTTCAGACTTCCTTTCACCAGTTCTGTTTTTCACAGTGAAACAAATTTAACAGATTTGAGAAAGGCACAGAAACAGGGAGATGAGTGAGCCGGAGGAATTGGTGAACCAGGGATAATGGTCTCCCCGAAGGGAGTACTAACTCCTTGGGTAAGGGGAGGGATGAAAGAGATAGCGGCTGTATACGCCAAGGCTGAGGAGCAAAGCAGGATGGTGTGGTTTACGGAGAAGCAGAAGATTTTTACATGAGAGTGAGACTGGATGCCAACCTGCAGAAAAAAAGTCTGTTTGTGCAAGACAGCTGCGTGCAGACAAACCACGCATGCTGACGTGTCCCGGTAAAAGCAAGATGAAGAATGCGGTCAGGATGGGTAAGATTTTGTGACAAATTTGCGATCTAATTTTATATCTGATGCCCAAGACTTCAAATCTGTGTGTATGGGGCATCTGCTGATTCTTTTTTAAGACATCAAATGAAAAGTAAATATTAAAGCTGTACACTTTGACTCACTGATAATACCAATAAAACCCATAAAACGTTAATTCATCCTCATATATTTGGCAGGCTCTGAAAATGATGGTTCAGGAGATGGATCGCCGATATTATCCACTGTTACAGTAACGCCTCCTCCTGCTATGCATTCTTTGACCGCGGATGACCATGAGCCAGTACTTGTCACTGCGAGCGCTACTGAAAGCAGCTTTGAAACAAAAAGTACTTCAAGTACTGAACTGAATGCCGTGAACAATCAGGACAGCCTAGAAGCAGCAGAACAGTCTATCTTGATATACGTTGTCCCCGTCGTGCTGCTGGTCTTGCTGATTTTGCTGATCATATTTTTTGTAATACATCATAAAAGGAAAAAGTCTAAGCAAGGTAAATTTGTCTTCTCATGCATCAGAAGGCTATTTTTAGGATGCGCTTGACATTAACAAAACATTATTTGGAGGCCTGGGATGCCACATTTAGGATGTACTTCTTTGGTTGTAGTTGCACATTTGACAGATAGGAAAGGGATCCACCCCCGGCCAGCAGTATCTGGGCACGCGCCTCTCCTTGGGTGGGAGCTAGTTCTCCTTCTTGGCACCTCCTGCTCACGCTGCACACCCACGGGAGCCGCGGCACCGAGCTCCAGCTCCTAGCAATGCCGGGAACGGCGTACGGGTGTAACCGTGTGGCTGCAAATGCTTATTCAGTCTCCATGCTTAGTAACTTCATGCAAGGTGAATTTAATGCTTCTATTGCCTATACTGCCCACAAGGTAAAGCTGCTCAGAGCTTGACTAAAATAAGGACAAGCAAAACCATGTTAAGGAACACTTTTAAGGGATCCTGTAGGGTGGTGGCAGCTATGAAGGTACCACAACAAATGAGCTAGGAATCCCGTGGTCAGACTGCCTGGGTGCTGTGATAGTGAGAGCAGCGCTTCAGGAAGCTACCTTGATCTGTTAGCAAAGAAATCGGTAACTTGGAGTGTCAAGGCACAGAAAACAAACTGAAGTGTCATATTAAAACCACGCAGCTGGTAAGTGAAGTCCCAAAATAGTCATATCAGTGTCTCTATAGAACAAGAGCGCAGCTGTAAGCTCCTCAGCCTGCAGGGACATACGTTCAACATAGATTTTAAGTCCATTTTTCAGGGCATTTTTAGGCCGCGCCTGCCTTATAACCGGGTCATCCTCATAGCAAACTCTGAATTCACAACCAGGCACCTAGTTGCCCGCCTGTTTCTGGATGACCTGAAATGCAGGTACACTCTTCAGAGGGATGGGAAATGTGGTGCCTTGCAGGAGCGTGACTGTGGGATCTCTTGCCCTGTGCCTATTGCTTGGAGCTGGGATTTTGGACATCCTCAAGGTGGGGGCAGACGGCTCTGTGGCCCTGGGGTGGCTCTGCAGTCAGGGAATGTGCTGGAACAAGTGGGAGGTGTCAGCACCCATTTGCAACAATGAATTAAAACTAAGCTGATTTAAGACAGTATACAATGTGAATCCTATATGTAGTTCTTCATTCTTTTTTGAGGGCTGAGGCTTTTCAGTCACTCGATTCCTGAAGGGGAAGTTATTTATCTGAATAATGGCTGTTACGCTATTTTTTTTCCCCATATTTACTTTGTCTTGGGGTCATAGCTACCTTTGGATCCCTTTTGACATCTGGCTTCATTTGCTTAACTGAGATTTAATCTGCCATGCAAGTCCATTCCCCCCTTCTTCTCTCCATGAGCGGCTCCCAGAGTCTCCAGGCAGAGCCGGATTGCCTGCGTGTAGTCTGCAGCAAAATGTCCCAACGCTTCCAGTAAACATTTTTTTTGCAGCAGTGGTTCCTTTTCAGGATACCATTTCTCTCATGACATCTGTTTTGCTCAGGGAAGCGTGCATCTGCCGTGTCCTGCCCACCGCGGCACTAGCAGTCGGTTTCCTCCCAGCATGACTGAGCTAATAATGAGCTGCTTTTAGTGTGTTCAAGATTAAAAATAATGGGTTCCTCTGAAAAGTACAAACAGGATGAGATGTTTTGTCTTTCATCTACAAGTTAACTATTATGCCTTTCAAAAATGCAACTTGTTTTACGTGACCCTATTCAAGGCTTGCTTGCAGTCTGGACCCTGTATATACAAAGAGCAGAACTATGAACACCAAGTGTTTTCTTTTCCAGATGAGCTGGGAAGCGAAAATGTGAAAAGGTAAAGTTTATGAATATCACTTTTTTTTTTTTAATACTTTTACTCTAACAGGATATTATGATTTTTGGCTCCTTCACCGCCTGTTTTAATTTAACTGTACACTAAACACCATTACCTTTTGTCATCAATTGCTCCAGTTAACTATCTCTAGAGGTGGCTAAAGTGTGACTTCGGTATCCAGCTGAAGGTGTAAGACTAGAGCAGGAGAACAGGAGTTACGGTGGCCGAGGCGAGCGCTGCCCCACAGGCACCCACCGCCCGCAGCCGCCGCTACCCCTGCTCTAGGCACCCCCGGCTCCACCAGCCACAAGATGCCACAAGACATACGAGGTGCCCCGTGAGCAAAGGGGATCAGTTCCCAGGCTCATCACAGGCTTTTACTATTCAGAATAAGCTCTGTGTCTTGCTCCCCTGTTTTTCAAGTTTGTCTTCTCACTCTGAGGTGAGGCAGAAAGGCTCGCCCAGCTGCCATGGAAGCAATGCCTTAGCTGCTGGGAAAATAAGCCAAAAGCTGCGTGGCTCTTACCAGAGTGATAATTTTTATCATTAACTTTTATTGAGCTCCATCTTGCTAATCAATGCTGGAAGTTATTAAATCGGCTTCACGGGGAAAAAAGGGGGATTTTGCTAAAAATATTTTTTCTACTGTGTGACTCCAGGAATGATCAGCAAAGGGAAGCTAGGACAAGACTTTAGGCCCTCTGCTTTTATCACTGGAGCAACGGGAGAGTTCTCGAACAGCTGCAGTGGTCCTGTGCTCTGGCATACCCCAGAGTGCACTGTCTGAGTCCCTCTGCATGTGGTGTCCCAGCCAGCCCTACCTCTGCCCAGGACTGGCATCCCGCCGCCGCTCCTTCGCATCTGTTTGCAGCCGTTTCATTCACACCCATTGGGCTGACATCTTCTCAGATTACTAGGCTAGGGTGTTTGCAGTGTTTATACATGTGTCTGGAATGATGAAAGACTCATACAAAATTACTACATTGTAAGTTGCTTGAATGAAGCATTTTGTGTAATGCCTTTTTTTCCCCTCCCTCCTCTCAAGTCCTATTTTTGAAGAAGACACGCCCTCTGTTATGGAGATAGAAATGGAAGAGCTTGATAAATGGATGAACAGCATGAACAAAAATGGTACGCGGTAACCCTTCTACTCCATCATCCCTCTCTTTCTAGCTGACGTAGATCCCATGCGTAGAAAATCAATGTAAGGCATTTTGTATGTGTGTCACTGCTTTTCGTACATTTTTATTTGCGTTCTTGACTCCCTGCTACAAAAATAGCAGCACAAATGTCAGGGGTAGAATTGTTCAGAGGAGTATTTTAGTTTGTGTGGGAGCTTATTTTTAACATATGATGGATTATCATAAATGTTTTGAGTTTCCAGTAGACATTTCTATTAAAGACATGTATAGCTGTGAAAGGTATTTATATTTTTAAATACACTTTTTTAATGCTAAATGCTAGTTTCTCTGAAGCATCTAGTCCTTTCAGAGTTTCTACAGTTCTGTGCTCCACATTGTGCTATTGTAGAAGAAACACGCATTCACTCATAGTTCAGACCACTGTTTACATAAAATTGCTGCCAGGATCCTATGAATACATCCCTCCCCTCTCTGTGTCCTTTCCCTCGCTTGCCATCTCTACCGCATGAAACACAAGCTGCCCTTTGCTGCCAGCACCGTTCACCATCTACGTCCTCTCTGGCAAGTCTATCAGCCCATGGAGCAATTAGTACCTGCGGTAACTACCACCAGCAGCATCTTCAGCTCCTTCTTAGCTACTTCTAACTATCTTGTATTTTTTCCCCCATTTTCCTCCCAACTGAAATCTCCTGGTCAAAATCTCTTAGGGCCCTGCATCCTCCTTCAAGGCTCTCCTCAAAAAATGCAGGTCTTCGGTAAGGTGTGAATTAACCGAGGCCTGATTTTGAACTGCTAACAGGTTTTTCACTGGCTAGGAAATGCTGAAACCCCGATATTTTTGTCATTCCTGGTCCCTCGCCTTGTATCCAAATGGCTCATTTGCCTGACCTCCTAGGGATGCTTTGTTTTTCAGGACATAAAACTCTTTGGAGCATTTCTTTGCGTTAGCACAGTGCTCCACAGGATGGGGTTTTGACCTTCACGGTCCATAAGCTCTAGCAGAAAACATGTGCTAAGCAGCAGTAGTGAAATAGAGACGTTAAGTATAGTACACAGGGAAATAGTGCTGTAAAATATTTGTTAAGGTTCTGTGGACAGAAGGGAGCAAATTGTTTACATATGGGGGTTTTTTTGTTAGTGTTCCCTAAACCCCAGCCCCAAATTCCCGGCTGGATTACAAAGCATAGGTGCAACTATAAGCAGTGGAAGATTAACAAATAGTTCTCCCCAGGGTAGTTTATGGGAAACAGTCCTCAAAAGTAGTTCATTTGTATAGGTGTACATAAACAACTGAAATATATATATTTAAGAAATTACAGCAACACCTATCAAAGGTAAGGAGGATTTAAAACACGTAACATTTACGCTTATGTGGACTATGCTGATTTTACAGATAAAAGAGTGCAGAATAGCATCTGCGGTTTTACATTCTAGAGAGACTGCACCAGAAAAGTTGATGCAATTTTGAAATAAATGGAGAATAACTGCCAAGAGTAACTATAGTGTTCTTATCCTTTTTCAGCTGACTGTGAATGTTTGCCTACTGTAAGAGAAGAAGAAAAAGAATCAATTGCCAACCCAAGGTACTTTTAATTCATTATACTATTTGAAGAAATATGGTCAATGTCATTCCAAAATAAGCTCATTTTTCTAATATATAATTATAAATAGAGTGATTCCTTGGTCTATTTAAGTTTTAAAGGTTTTATATAAAAGGACTTTGATTTCAACTCAAACAAATGGTTTGACACTCTTTTGTTTCTAAACTGGTCTCTGCCCGTAAATTGCACTCCTAAATAATCTTGCGGTTGTAAACCTGCGCGAGACAGCCAGCCAGATGGCACAGACGGAGTTTCACTGGCTGATCAGACTTTAATCACAGTTTCCCAAGGTGTTAATAGAAGCATTCAGCTTAGCTTCCTTGGCACTCCTCACCGGTGCGGACACCCAGCTCCCTCTGCCACCAGGTGCCTGTAGGTCCCTGAGAACTGCTGCCAGATGTTTTGGCTGGTGCTGTGACCTGCCCGGCAGGGGCTTGTCTGACCCCAAGAGAAACCCAAAAGATCTTCCCGGTGCCCCATGCAGCGCTCCCCCAGGGCTGGCATTAGCTCATGGTCCAAGCAGAGATCCCAGAGGGATGCAAAACCGCAATCCTGACAGTTTGTAAACTTACTTTAAAACTTTCTGGCTGGTTTCCTCAGGATTTTGGCCAGAACGCCTAAACGCCTCTCAAACTCCCATTTTCCCTAATTAAAAATTCTGGTTCCAGCTGGAAGCTGGAAGTACATCGCCCTTGCCTGCACGCTTGTGTTGCAGTTGCATCTTGGGGAGTGGGCAAAGCAGCTCCTCTGTGCCAGGTTACGATAACAAACAATTAAGCCACCCTGTGTGCCAAGAAAATCCGTGGTGCAGTGGAAGCTGCGGGTGCAAGCAGGCAAGGCAGGGAGCAGGGTGGGGTGGCAGGAGGAGGACCTAGGTCTTCCCCTTCCTGTGGCATCAGATAACTCAGCTCAACATGCCTCTCTGACGGAGCTGCATCTCCCACTGTAGACCATCATAATATCCCGGTCCCCCTCTTTTCTGAGTTTCCTTGTTCAGGAGTGAAATAGAGGTGATGTTAAATCACCACTGCTGGAGAGTTTGCAACTCAGTTGCTCCAAAGCTGCAGTTTCAGGGTAGCTTTTGGATGAGGCTGCTCCACTGCTGCTATTTGTATTTAAAAGGTTTCTGCTTATGCCTATTGCAAGAGAAATCGTTGTTGTTGTTGTTGTGTTGTGGGGTTTTTGGTGGGGTTTTTTTTGTTGTTTGTTTGTTTGTTTCTAATAAAGACTTAGATCCTAGGTTCCAGATGCAAGCAAGCGCAATAATTTTACCCTGAGCAGCTGGAAAAGATGCTGGATTCACTATCCATCTGGGTCTTCCCTTCCAGCCTCTAAATGATTACTCAGAGGGGGAAAATTGTTAAGGAGAGGCAGCTGCACAGTGGTTCTCTGAAAACAGATCTGCTGAGCGTACCACTGCCTGTAGTAGGGAGTATAGGACCAAGTGAGCTTGAGCCATATGCTAACACCGGCAGAAGTTAGTCATACTATAAAAGGCTTTTTAGGTACAACCACACCCTGAGCATTAAGTTTACTTTTGAAAACCAGTTAATTTTCAGAAAAAACTCGTCATGACCTACCAGCTTGAGCTGACATTTTAAATACCATCCTTGCTAAAGTGCTTTTGTACTGGGTTTGCATTAACCCCATCAGAAGGTGGGGTTTTGCTCCTGACTGGCAAAAGGTATCTTTGGGCTACAGTCTACCTCAAGTTCCCCACCTGTAAGATAGAGATATTGTCACTTCAAAGCACTATAGTGAGGCTTAAGCCTTGATGCAAAAGCCCTGTTCAGACAAGTGTGCTTCAGTCAGAGTGAAGGTACACACATTATTTAAGCATATTTTCTTATGACTGGTATCTTAGGATCAGACTGTAGAAAAATTTATGCCTCTAAAATTGTAGGAAGGCAAACAAATGCAAATAAAAGGAGGAGATTTATCTCTAAAACATTCAGAGCTGCTCAGACAAAGGATATTAGTTGAATACAAAGTGCAAGATTATTAGGTTCAATTTCAGATTCTGAAAGACTGCTTTGCTTGGGCAAATTTCTTCTCAAATGATGGTAATTCCTTTTTTAGATTTTATTGATGATATTTCAATATGGGAAACATCTCAAGGCCTCACTGAACACAGCTGGCTGAGTGTTGTTTTCCTGCTTCAGAAAGATGCTGGGGGGAGTTCATCAAGACCCAAATGTTTTGAACTACGAATTGATTTTGATAAGATATCATGTTGAAAACATCTGAGACTAAATGTTTCAATAATGACATTTTGACATTTTCAGAATGAAAGTTGTTCCAAAACTACTTTTCAGAGTAAGTGACTTTTTAATATAAAATTTTAAAAAGGTTTAAAGAACAGAACCCTGTGGTGGTGAAATATTTCTAAGTTAAGTGTTTCCTTTAACTCAAAACTACTTTTTCAAATTTCATTTTACGTGAAATTTTGAAACGTGCTTCATTTCAAAGTGAAAAGGTATCTGAAGTGGTGGGATTTCCTGGTAAACAAAAAAAATTGGTTCCCGTTTATTTCTGCAATTGAACCTTATCAGACCAAGGTTTTCCTTGCTGCTGCTTTTCCTGACCAAACTCTTAGCTGAATAAATAATGTCAGAAAGAGAACTACGGACAGATAAATAAATGTTTTCAGCAACTCTTTTGAGCAAGAAAAGTGAAAGACTATGAAGTAAAACGAAACAAAGCTGCTATTAGGGCAAAAATTTGTACTCATGAGCATCAAGGCTGCAGATTTGTGCACAAGAGGCCAGACATGACAGCCCAGGCTCCTTTGTTAGGTGGAGGTCATCTGCCTTGTGCATAAGCTAAGTTAAAAATATATATGTGTATATACTTTTTTTTTATATATGTATTTAAAATAATATATCTTGCCTTTGAAACCTAGTGCTAAAATCTTGATTGTGCCTGAGCAGAGAACCACGAAATCTCCCCAGCCTCGCTGGGGCCGGGGTTCCCACCCCACGCATGCAGGAGGCAGCGGGCAGGCGGGCGCGGGGGCGGCAGGCGAGGGCTGATCCTCCTGTGGTGCACAAGCGGGTGCAAGACCAATCTCTTCTCTGGGGACCTTTACTCCCCCAGCAAAACGGAAGCGCAACCTGTCCCCTTCACAGCATGGGTCTTCGCAGGCTGCTGAGTACGATGAAGCAACGCCCCCCTGCTTTATCACACCTCCCGAGGGGGTTTGGTTGTCCTTGGGCGCTGCTGGGCACCCTCCTGGTCTTTCTGTCCAAAAAAGGGTAACTCTTTCTTATGGAGAGATGTTCTGGGTGGGGAATAAGTCGGTACAGGAAGAAATACTCCTTTCCCAGGCTGTGCCTCAGTTTGGCGAGGTACTGAGACAACTAACCCAACAGCATGACACTGGTGTGTTTTTTCTTTTCCATGTATACGCAGTGACGGTGAATCATGATGTCAGAACAGCAAAGGAAAGGTTAAAGGGAAGCAGCGCTCAAGCTAACAATCCCCCAGATATTGGATGAACTGGATTTAAATATAATTCATCTCAAAAGGCCAGAGAAGCAAGTGCTTTTGTTGTGTCCTGCTACATACAGTCTTCAGAAAGGAAACATCACCAAGGGGAAAGAAAAAAAGAAAAGGGAAAAAAAAAAGGAAAAGCACTATAGTAAGATTAGGGGCTGATTTAAATTCCTTCTGCAATGAGATTCATCACAAATCAAGAGAAGCCCCTTTCCCCCCAAAAAAAAATTCTAAAAATAGTCCATGTTTCTGTCTAGTTCTTCAGTTGTGTATCGTGCAGAACCACTTGTGTTCCAAGTTTGGTGGTTTCTTTGTATTTTTTGTGGGTGGTTTTTTTTTTAAATATAAACAGCATCCATAATTCTGGACTACCCTGGTTTGGTGGATTTGAAGCTCATGCCTATGCAACGTTTGTTTTTCAATTTGCTTTTTGGTAATGGTGCACTGATTTGCACAGGACTTCTGCTGGGGAGATACCAGACTAGGACTGACAGACCAGCTCTGAGGACAGACAGAGCTGCTGAAAAGCCTCTCAAAGGATTCGACAGAAGCGACGGCAGCCCAGCAAGGGCATGGTCTTTGTAGCGTGCTTTTTGGTTTTCAAATTAAAGGCATTGTAGAAGTGAAAAATATTATTTTGAGATTACCTTTCAGTTCGTTATCTCCACAGATTAGTACCCTGGGCTAGCTCTCACCATTTAACCCTCCTCCCTGCCCAGTGCTGTTCTCTAACAACCACCTACTTGAGGAATATTCCACTTGAAAAAATTTCTTTTTTAAAAATAAGAGAGGTTGAAACATTGAACAATTCAGTACTCACACCGAACACAAGTTTAGATAAGTATGTATTATGTGTAACTATTTGGACAAGGTTTTCAGATGCAGTAAGATTTCTGCTTCTTTTGTTTTTGAATATTGAGCATGGAATATCTGAATGATATTGACTTCTAAATGTGCCTGGTCACCTTTAATTACACTGAAAAAAATCAGACTCCTGAGATACCTCAAGGTGGGAACAGAAATATTGTAATCGCATCCATTGATTTTAGGTGGCATGTCTCTTATGGATGTAGTTTAAATATGTAACACACACATGAAAGCGGATCCTTGTCTGTGCAAAGCTTCCCCAGCCTTGTTTGAAATATTCAATTAACGCCCTACCATAACTTATGTCCTACCCTATAATATCCTACCTACCCTCATCTTCTATTTAAATACATAACTTCTTCCCACTCAATACATGTTTAATATGATCGGTTTTGTTTTGCCTGCAAATATTTCACTAATATGTTATCATGCATGGCTTGTTTAAAGAGAGCAAACAAACGCCCCAAGCCTCTGGGATGACAGCTAAGTGTCACTAACAGCTGACAAATACAGAGGAGCTTTGTGAGTAATTGAGGATGTGTCAAAATATAAAAGGAAAAAAATGTTTACAGCTAACCATATTCATTCATTACTGAATATGACTTGACTAGTAATTTCCTCAAAGAGTAAAAGATTTCTTCATTGTTCCAAAACAATTTATTGCAAATATTGGATTTAATATATGAGTGATGGTAAATTAATTTTCCCTGCTTGGATGATTTTTAACTTCAAAAAAATGTTTTTAAGTTCATCTTTCACAACTTTTTTTTTTTTAAACATTTCCACAAGTTCCTGAGAGTAAACTCATTCTCTAGAATATTGATTTAAAATAATGCAATCACAAGGGGGAAAAAGTGAAAGACTGAAATATAGAAAATTTTTAAAAATGGAAGTGGATATTTTCCGGTAGCAGCTTTGTTAGCAACTTCTTTCCAACAAATGAAGATGTTAGACTTCCTACAGTCTGCAAAGCAGTAACCTGAACGTGCCCAAACCAGAGAATGTTTTCTTTAACAGTACAAGATAAAAAGATGTATTTTGAGGCCATTACTGGCTGTGTGGTTGGAGGGCAGTCCGCGGTGACCCAGCAGTTTGCAATGTCCGTGTCCAAGTGGTGACTCGTGCCCTACCTTGCTTCAGGCCACGCAGCTCCGCATCCAGCAGCCACCACCTTCTCCATGAAGAGAGTTGAAGCGCAGCTGGGACAAAGAAGAATTGGAGCCCTCACCTTTTTAAAAATTTTATTACTATTTTTTACTTCTGAAACTTACCCAATCCCCCCCCAAATGGCATTATATAGCATAAGTCAGCTCTGACATACTGATGATCCTTCACCCTGTCCTAGCTACGCGTCTACAATAGCGTAGTGCAATAACTCAGTCTGCTACAGCATTTGAGAAGAGGCTGTGTCATGCACGTGTTTTGTTATTTGTTTGGGATTAATGTTAATCCCAGATGGTCCTTTTGTTAGATAAAACGCTGTACAGTTTCAAATAAGTTTCTCACAGAGGTTTAGTTTCACTTAAAAAAAGATTTAAGTTTTGCTTGAGGGAATACATATTCTGTAAAATCACATTAATAAGCATTAATCCTTATTCCAGAGTTCATGATTAACCAATTTCTACATCAAGCTTTAAAATCAATTTTGCCCAGAACTAATGTCTAGATGAGAGCTTTACAATTATCCAGGTTATGCCATTTACCGTCTCCAAAACCTGGCACACCAGGAAATTTCTTTTCCTCTTCTGGCACTTTCTAAACATTGCAAAATACAAAAAATGGTTTGGATGCTTCCTTGGCCAATTTTGGATATAAATTATCTGGATCTACTGCTTTTTAAAAATACAAGTCTCATAGTTGCTGAGTGACTATTGAAAAAGATAGCATTTCGTCAAATCTTATCCTCCCCATGTGAAACAGATCACTTGTCAAATAATTTGCATTTCAGTATGGTTATGGATATTTCTAACAGATTCCCTTAGTACTAGACAAATACGATTTTTAGTATTCCTATTTTCCCTAAACGTCTTTACATCATTGTTATTCTCCCCTCCGAACAGAAATGCTAGTCTTAAACTATGGAGGGGATGATTCATTCATCCCATACCTCACCCCGGCTCTGCACTCCCCCATTTCACCCCTCTGGTCTCTTTCGTCGATCTTCATTTTTACGTTGACTTCCGCATTTGCCACGGCCGCCGCCCAGGGTCCACTCACTCAGGTTACAGCCGAGTCTTTCTGTGGACCCCAGGTTCGGGGGCGCAGCTCCAGCGTGGTCGCTGCCTTGGCTCCTCTCCTCCCTCACCCATTCAGTATTTCCCTCTCCTGCTTACTTGTGTGCCCCTTGCTCTCTTGTCTGTTTTACGCTTGTCATTAGTTCCTGGTCTTTTCCTTTTACACACAGTTTATCTCTATTTTAGTCTTGTAGGTGGATTGAACTACAGGGGATTTAGAGCATTTTACTCCTGTATTAGTACAGCCAAAACACTGTAATATTCCAGCTTACAAGTATTACCTTTACACCCTCTGTTGATGCACCTTAATTTTCCCTAAATAATGCACACAGTCAGGTCCTCTAACCCACAAACCAAAGAGCGGGACAACCAGACAGCAGATAAGATACTAGCAGATTTTTTTTATGTTAATATTGCCATACGCTGCTCAGTATTTTTGCCTCTGCTGTAATATCCTCATCACCAGCCTGCTCTGAGGTGGCCCATCTCACCATCGTCTTGCAACATCTACCACCAACTGATAACTCAAGTTATTCTCCCTCAGTAGAAATTGAGAAAAAGCACACAAATAGAAAGTCACTTGCACTATGTATTATTCTAAAATGTTTAGCAAATGTGATGATCCCTAAGGAACTGTTACCTCTTCTTCCATTTCCTTCAAGTATTTCAGTAGTTATGCAGCACCGCTCAAGACAATTCGACATCTAAGTTACCGTGTGAGCACTTTTTGTCCTACAGAAGGCAGAAGAGCCAAAGGAGGAATGGTTTGAGAAACACATGGATAAAAAGAAGGGTAATTAAGGGCCAGCATCTCTCCTACATATTGCTAAAAATCAGTATCTTAACAGAGAATTTTTCAACAAAATAGAAATAGCTCCTTCCTAAAGTTACAAACATAAGGTTACTGGCATTACCAGCAGTTAATTAATAGCATAATAGTCATGCATTTGACAAGTACATAACCCTTACATTAACCTCAGCAAAAAAGGATGTTGGTTTTAGTTTCTAGGTAGTCATAAGTCATGGATCCATAGATAACTATTGATCTAGGAGATAAAAAAAGTAAATTGTTTTGCAATGCTAAGTCTGACAGAGGGCTAGAAACCCCCCCCCAACTTTTGTTTACTTTCTGTATATGGAATTGCTGTATGTGCAATTGTTTTATCAAACAGCTGTTTCAAATGATTTTGTAATTTAAATATTTCAAAGTAATAATATTGCTCAGCTATATATAAGAGTTTGAGATTTTAAAGAATCTTTTCCAATAAAGGTTTATAGCAAGTTTTAGTGTCTACAGGTTCTCTTTTTCCCCATAACCCTGCTAATCCCTTCAAGTCAATGGGTGCTAATTATTTGTGGTTGATGTCAAGATTACTCAGGCCTTAGAAGATGTACAAAGATATATATGGTATGCTGATATGTTACTCTCATCAGCTAGCTAAAATTCAGGCAACAAAGCCTAAAGGCTAGTGCACTAGCCTTTCCAAATTACAGAAGTGCTTTGAAATTAATTTTACTTAAGCAAAAAAAAAAGCTGCTTTATATTTCATTATATTTTTGTTTGGAAATTCCAAATTATCTTTATCAATAGTCAAATTCTGTGTCCAGTGCAATTGGTGAACACCCATGATTTCTCATTGGGTGACTGTAGCTGTCTTTCTTTAATGATTGATCACTTTGCAGGTTATTCCAGTTAAGCACCAAAATGGGAGTCTCCAAATTGATAAAGCTGTTAAAATAATTTTCAGGGGAAAAAAAAAAAAAAGAAGGGGGGGGAAGAGCGCAAGGTATTTCCAGGTAGAGATTTAGAAAGGATTAATAAAGCAGAGCATTACTTTCATCTATGTTTGCAACAGACAGATTCATTAGAGGGGAGCAGAATCTCCCAGGGGTATC